ACACAAAATTTGATACAGGTTCTTTGATCCATTTTTTTGAATAGGTAAAAATTTTGAATAGGTAAAAAGACGATCCAAAGCACGTGCAAGCAAAGCAGCTGTCAACAATTAAATGAACATTTAAAATGGCCAAGCTTGTCGGCATAAGTGAGAGACATGAGTACCAACATAACGCCACAAAAATTCGAAATTCGAATATACGTAACCCGCGAAAATTCAAAATTCACGATACTTTTTGAACACACCTCGTATATAAAGCATCCTACGTAAGCTAATGTCGCCCCAGAAACAGAGAAAAGCGGAGTTCAATATCCCCCAATAACGAATATGGTATTAAACAACACCTTAAATATTAAAGAGACCGAGAGTATAAAGACGAAATTTTCGACTGACAACAAACATATCTCTCTTATTTATTTGCTTGAAGGTTGGTTTTGTCCTCTGTTTGGACTTTTCGGCAATATATACTCAGGGCTTTCGATGGATTACAGCGAAAATAAAACTCCACAGATCAACCCACCTCTCTTGTAGAATATATCCCTAAAAATGTATTACACAAAAACTTAATTTATGTGATTTTTTTTCCAATTTATGGTGTATGATTTCAAAAGAATTGTTCCCTCAAACAATTTGGCAACCAGTCAATCAAATACACAGTTATAACAAATTACTACTTCGGGTGCCGTTTTTTATCGTTATTGCTATTGTCTGTATGCCAGCATTTTACTATTCACATAAACTGGTGTAGTCCAACTACCTTTCCTAATCATTGATTCCATTTGTCCCTCTGTTTTGCCAGCAAAGCATAAACGTTCGTTCTTCCCTAGCCCTATGCACACGCACACACTTTTCATGAGGCACGCGAAGACAAAGCTGTTGGCGCAATCAGCCGATCAACTAATAGTTTTGCTACTACCAGTTGCCCTGAGTGTCATGAAGATCATATGTGTGTTAAGAAAATCTCGGGCTGTGGTAGTGCAAGATACATATGATATTTTTGTTGTGTATGGCTATTTATCTCTTATTGTTGCCGTTTAAACTGAAAATTTTATGGCACCTTTTAGCCAAATATAACTCTTTTTTAAAGACCACCAAGGCATCTACATTAACTACCTTGTGATAGATTCGTAATTCGTATTTTAGTAACCATCGTAACCGTAAACATTAGTGTGATTTATAAAGGAATTGATGGTTATTAATTTATTTAAAAAAGGTTATACTGAAAAGACGAATCGATTTAGACATAATTGAGATGTCTTGCTGAAACTATTTATTAGCTGCATTTTTGTTCTATGTGATAGATCTGAACCGACTAATGGCCAACATAGGAGGCCCCAGTCAAGAAAAAAGAAAGCTCCTGATGTCGACAACAATCAGCGTTTTATTATACGGAGCTGAAATATGGGCAGATGCGCTTAAAAAGGAAAACCGGCGTAAGACAGCGGCCAGAGTGCACCGCACTGCAGCCCTCAGAGTTGCATCAGCCTACCGAACAGTGTCCGCCCCAATTGACCTTCTAGCATAAGAAAGGAAAAAGCTGTGGGAGCTAAAGCAGTCACCCTGCCATTCACCCGAAAACAACAAGAGCGCAATAGAACAAATAAAGAAAGAAACCATAATAACATGGCAACAAAGATGGGACACCGAAAGCCGCGGCAGATGGACGGCCAGGCTTATAAAGGATCTAGACTCATGGATAGGCCGAAAATTCGGAGAGGTAGATTTTTACACAACCCAACTGTTATCCGGTCACGGGTATTTCAAAAAGTACCTTCACAGAATGGGTAAAGTCGAAGAGCCGTCATGTCCATACAACGCGCTGGCAAGGAGAACGCACCGCCGTAGAGGACCTGGTTGGCCCAATAAACGCGGAAAATTTAGTCAGCGTTATGTTAGAGAGTGAAGCAAACTGGGGGATCATCAAGAAATTCGCCGCACTCTTGCTACCCAGCAAAAAGCGGGACCTGGACGCAGGTGCGCAGATGTAAATCTCACAATGAGAAAAATGGAACGCCACCCTGAAGTAATGCAAAAGCGGTCCCAGGGTGGGCGACGGTTCCTTAGAGGGGGGGTTTTTAGTGACCTGCAAGTGGCACATACCGCTGCTGTGACGATAGCACCGATGATGCGGAAGGCAGGAAAAAAAAAAAACAAAAAAAAAAAAAATAGATCTGAACCAATAATTAGATCTGCAAAATTAATCTATGACATTATAATTTATTTTTTTGTCAAAATAAAATAAATAGTTTTTTCTTTTCTCTGCTGTCTGCCGACGCACCTGGGCCTTTAGTAGGTCCATTGTGATAGCAGCAGAAAACACTACACAAAGCTTAGCGTAAAAAAATTTAAATAATTTTACGAAGTTATTGCCTATTTTGCAGCAAACTTCTCTTTTACTACAAATATGGTATACAAGCATAATAGTTGAGGGCTCCCGGCAAGAAATTAAGGTATTGCATCCTCCACATTGAATAAAGAATCGAAATTGATAAACTATGTTATTTATTTTTAAATGTGCGGAAATATTAAGCTTATTTTTTATAAATAACTACTTCGATATTATAGAATTATAATCACTTTTAGTGGATTTCTAAATACCACAACGGGCCAGCTATAAGATGCCTAAGTGAGATCGATAAATTAGCTAGAAATTTGGAACACATTGAATGGAAATACCTTTTTCAAGACCAAATATGGTTGGTCAGCTAATTTATTGTAAATTCGTAATAAAAAGATGTTATTCTAAACTCAATAATACGTATTATACATATTTGAACACGTTAGATTAACATTTTAAAGTCTCTTTTGGAAAGCGATTTTTGAAGGCCTCACATTTCGGTGTCGTAAATGAAAAATAACTATTCATTGCACGTGCTGACTCGCCGAAAGAGTTGGATCTGTAAGCTTTGAGCACATAAGTGGTATCAAATTTTAGTCTGCTAAATTCCACTGCATCTTGCTGCGAATCAAAAGAATAACATTTTTTAACTCAGCGTAAATTTCAACAATTTGAAATGCTCACCTTCACCCTTATCGCGCTATATTCTCGCTGCTCACAATTGCTTTCTTTTGGACATAATTCGTAAACCCTGAATATACACAAAATTTTCTTAGATTTATATTTGTAATTGATTTTCCATCTTCACTCACTTCTCCTTGTGTGGTAAAAATCCCGTTATGTGTACAATCATGCCAAACTTACGACTAAACCGATAATTTACTTCATATCCGTGCACAGTTGATACTGCTAAGGTAATTGGCTTGGGCGCTCTTTCATGGGTTCGTGATAAGGGGTTTTCACTGTTTGTGTCAATAGTCTGCTCTAGTTCATGACCGTGATGCGAACACCTGAGTGGTCTGTAGGGCTCCGCAGGTTGGGTCGTGTTATAGAGTACTGAGCACTTGTCAGACTTCAAACGTCGACTGCCATTTATGGATATGGCTTGGACTTGAATGTAGTAGCTGGACTCAGGCAAAAGTTCCTTTATTTCGAAATAGTGTGCCTAATGGTGAGAACAAGTAAAGTGAAAAAATATTTTAAAACTATTTATTATACGAGTATGTAGATCAAAACTCAATTGTGATAAGAAATCAAAGTAACTGGCTTAAGGAGCACATATATATATGCATATCTATTGAGGGTTGCTTGCTTTCAATTATTAATTTTTTAGTCTACAAACAGTTTCTGTGCTAATGTTGTCGTCCAAATCAACACTAAAGTATTTAAGTTGATGCGGAAGCGCCTTTTAGGAACATGCGACCGTCGTTAGCGCCTTATAAACTTTTAGTAATACGTTTTCTGAATAATGATTGACGATTTAGTTCCCTTGAACACTTAGTGTTTACTATTGGACAGCTACTCCTTATAGAAACCCCGCCAGCTTTGAACAACCGGCACGAATTTTGCATAATGGATATACATAACTGTGACTTTGCACCGTTTTCTCACCATCGGGAATCTGTAACAAAACCTAATATATCCTAATCTAAGTATGCCTTCAGAAATTACACCAACATTCAGCAAGTTGGTTAACACTGCTCTGATGTAAAAGGTAGGTTCGATGGGCAAAAACAGAAATGTGTGAGCACTTTACTCTAAAAACTAATAGTACATTCGATTAAGCACTTACATCTTTCACGTATGTTTCATTCGTTATAACTGATTCATCGTTATTTCTCACATAGAGCGACCATATGACTTTATACTTTTCAATCGGCAAATTCGACTTTGATGGGCACCAAGCAATTTTCACCACATAATGGTGACCATTAAAAAGCGCGGATACCACTTGCACATCAGCGGGAGACTTGGGAGGCTTGGGATCTATTAATTGAAATATATATACATATAATATTATGCTAGAAGTAAGGGAAGCTGTTACTCACTATGCGTTAAGCGAAATACTTTGGAGGGCTCAGAATAGCCACGGAAACCGTATGCATTAATTGCCGCAACACGCGCCTGATACCAGTAACCAGGTTTAAGGTTAAACGATATATCAATTCTATAAAGGTGAGAAAGAAAATTGGTAGTTGGAGTACAACTTTACGGTGTAATTCTTTGGTTAGGTTAGCAAACCTTTTGCTGCGTGCATCCGAAATCTCAGCAATTTTCTCCACCAGTTGACATTGCCACGGACTAAGCTTTCGCTCAGCGTATGATACCCCGAAATGATACCGCACTTCCACATGACAATAGTAGGTAGAATTTGCCGAAGATTCAATTCTGATTTCCACCTTATTTCCGCGCCCCAATTTGGAGTATATGATTTTCGGTATTGGTGGCAACAATGCATCCTCCCGCACGTCGATCGCTTCGACGCAAACCGGTCCGCAGCCAATGTCGCAACACTTCTGCACCAAGGGACAGTCGGAGTCGTACAGGCAGTTGTCGAGGCAGATCAGCTGCTGTAATGGCGAGAGTTCGGGTAGTGTAAAATTTCTCTTGTTCGGGCAGAAACCGCGTCGTGGTTCACGATAAATGGACGCTTGGCACTGTTGAAAACAGATTTGCGGATCTTCCATGGTAGTCCTCACACTATCGACCGCACATTTGGCATTACATTGCAGCTCCACAATTTTATCCTTCACATCAATGGCTGAGCAGTGTTGAGTAGCTGCCGCGTTATAGTGCGAGACGTGGGCGAGCTGCTTTCCCAAAATGTGCTGAACATATTGCAACAGGAAAAGTACAGTCCAAATAGAGGTGGACACAGGGTTAACTGAGAGCGCATTATCCATTTTCACAGTAGATAACGGCTAATAAATAAAAGAGATTACTTTAGAGTAACATACGAGTTGCAATATATTTTGTATAGTATAAAACATATTATGCAGTTCTTCTAAATAAAAAATAAACTAAATTAACCTGTATAGAACATTCTTAAGCCACATAGAAGTTTCTGTCGTTTGATACTTAGTAACTAGTTTTGCTACACTCGACTCATACACAAAGCAAAAGTCTAACAGATTTAGACAGATTAATTTGTGTTCTTTAAGAATAGTTACCGCATCTCTAGCGAAATAGCATTGATTTCGACACGAGTGTTTGCTTGAACTCCTCAGCGGTCCAAGAATCGATTGTGTAGAGTTTTCTTTTCAAATAAACCTGGGACAAAAGGATGATCAGATAAAAAACTTTGTGTGGCCATTCGTCCCCTTTTTGTGTTGTAGGTACCATTACATGTATAAACGTTTTTCTCGCGGTAATAAATGGTGAAATCAATGAAGTACCATACACATATTTCAAGACATAAGCACTACACCGTATTATTTCCTTTCACAGGTACATTAGCATAAAAGGATTATCCTTGATTTTGATCGATTAGTTTTTATGACAGCTACATGGTGTTTTCCAAAGTAAACAGGACATAAAAAAACATAACAAATGGTTTTTTTTTGCAAAATCAATTTATTTTATTCAATACAGCAACAAAAGCATGTCGAACGAGTGTTCTAGCTCGTTGGCCGGAAACGCAGCCAGTATGCCGGTGCAAGCCTTTTGAATGGCCTCTACGTCTGCATAACGCTTTCCTTTAATGGGCAAATGCATTTTTCCGAAAAGGATGAAGCCGCACGGTGCGATATCAGGCGAATACGGGGAGTGGTAAATGGTTAATGTGATTTTTAGTAAAATAATCGGTCACAAGCATCTATTAGGTTGTCAAAAAAGTCTTGCGGTATTTTCGTTAGTTGGCGCTGAGAGCGCGTTGTTCTATTTTTGTTCGTCGCATCGATTCATGCTATACCTTTTTGGAAAGCTCATTTCACGCGCTAACTTGTGTTTGATTGATTGTCGTTTCTTTTAAGGCGTTCGTGAATTATAGCGTCGCAAACATGGAGCAGAATAAAGAGGAAATACGGTATATTTTACAGTACTACTACGATAAAGGCAAAAATACATCTCAAGCCGCCAATAAAATTTGTGCAGTTTATGGACCCGATACAGTTTCCATTTCCACCACACAACGACGATTTCAACGTTTTCGTTCTGGCCTGTTGCCGTAAATTGCGATAAAATAGCTGAATTGGTCGAAAGAGACCGGCATAGTAGCAGCCGTAGCATAGGTCAAGAGCTGCGAATGAGCTGGAAAATTCAATAAAAATACCGCAAGACGTTTTTGACAACCTATTACATTTCGTAAGCCCAAATGTTCAGTGAAAATGCGATAAATCGATAGTTTGGAGATGTTCAATTCCATTTTCGTAAATTTTAATGATGATTTCGGCTGATTTTTGATGAATTCACGCACAGTTTCGATGGAATTTCCGGTGATCACGGATTTTTATCGTCATTTCTGTCCTCACGACCACTTTCAAAACATTAAAACCACTCGTTTACACTGCTACGGTGGAGGCAAACATCGCCATAAACTTGTTTCATCAATTGAAGCGTTTCGGCAGAAGATTTTCCAATTTTAAAACAAAATTTAATGTTGGCTCTTGGCTCGAAGCTCATTTTCGAACCGATAACACAAACATATTGACACTTAAAACGCAATAACTTCTCTTCCAATCGATAAAGATAGCAGATTCTAACTACATATAGATGCTGCCACCAGAAGGCGCTAGATTCAAAAAGTCTTATTTACTTTGGAAAACACCTTGTATATGCTATAGCTTGGTTATTTTGGAATCCAAAGCTGCATGAAAGAATTGTTCAGGAGTTTAGCTTCCACTCCCACCAGCTGATGGGATATCAGAAGGTATGAGCCCCCAAGTGTTTAAGCATCGATCTTGGAATGCGGGACAAACAAAAAGGAAGTGTTGAAATGTTTCCCTCATCTTTTTCCAGGCAGCTTCTAAACTTTACGCCCGGTAATATTCGCAATTTTTCAGCATGGATAAGCAATCGTCTGTTAGAACTGCCACAACTGGAAAAGGTTTGCCTTACTAAGGCAAAGAGCTTACCGAATCTCTTACGGTCGATCTTGGGTTAAAAGAATCTTCCGACAAAGCACGAACCTCTAGTGGCTCAACGCTGACCAAGCTGTCGCGAAGCACGGCTATATAGTAGCAGAACACACGAGGAGAGTAGAGCAACTACCCGATCCCATTCTACAGATAGAATTGATAGACGAGCAAAATTTCAGACCGATAACTTAAAAACGAAGGAACTAGTTCGCATATATACAAAAATACGGACGAACAGACAGTTTGCCATGGCTTAGACGACTGAGTTCAACGCCCAATTTTTTTTTATTATATATTTATATATATACATATATACGTATGTCTCCGACTTTTTCCTCGTGCTGTTAAACCCAAAGTTCATATGCCCTATTCAATAAATATTAATATTATTAAATTCACCAAGATGCCAAATTGAAAATTAATTTTTTTCTATTGACAAATATTTGTATCAATAATTATAATATATAAAATAGGCAAGCTGAAGATAAATACGAGAGTGTATGTATCCTGAAAAGTATGAAACGCAAAACACTATCAACATTTGTTTACCGAGTTCCGGAAATAGGATTATATGTAAGTTTTTTAACAGCGCTCTAAATTGCAGTTTTATGTGCGATTGTTACGAGATGCACCCGCGACACTAAACACGCAACGTAAGAGAAGCAAAACTAAAGACTAAATGCGGATCAAGTGGTGTGTCGGCTCGTCGCTCTGTTGATCTCTGATCGAATGTACAAGATTGACGATCGAATTGAAATTTCACGAGTGCAGCCATTGCGCTTTCCATTGCAATTCATTTCGTCTCGCAGAGAGTGTGGGAAGTGGCCCGCGAATATCTCTAGCACGTTAAAGAAATTGGCGCGAGCATTTATTTATATGTGTATATACAAACTCTATTACATACAAGCATACCCCAGTTGCATTGTAGACATAACAGCTGCTCATTGATACCCATATTTATACTTATTTTATGCGATTACATTCGTTTAATTCATGCACTTTCATTATCACTTTTATGTAGATTTGTATGAAGGTCTTATGTTCGCTTCAATCTATGTCTGAAGGCATGTGTATAAGTATGTTTGTACTATGTACATGGCATAAGAGTATTTACTGATACTATTCTATGTCACTGTACCATGAGGCTGATAAGTAAGACGCGCACTGCTTGCGGAATCAAAACGGCAATAATTTTATGTACAAACATATTATACATACCACACATATGTATGCACTTACGTATAGACGTATCAAACGCTTATAAGTGTACATACTATGTATATACCAGATATATGTATATATTTTTTTCTACGCATTAATAGTTCTCCAAACTGCACCAGCTTTTAACAATGTGAAACCGCTTAAAATTGAACAATGGCAAAGCAGAATAATTGCAGTCGTGCAAAACACAAATATGGATTAGAAGCTCACTCTAGTGGGCATGGGTCCTCTCCAATAAATTCCTTAACTGAAATTGGAAAGTCTGCTATTTAATAGTATTGCTAATGTGCTAAAAGTATTTAAACCTTAAGTGCATTACGCCAGAAAGTTTTTATTTGTTGGGTAGGATGATACTTCAGGCCAAGGGTGTCAATTATACCCTGAACCGGGTGTACTAATTTAGTCTGGAAGGAAGCCTCGGAGATCCGTTAAAATGTATGTATAAATTATGAGCTGATTTGACTGATTGTCTGTCCGTTCGTCCGTCTGTTTATATATCTGAAGTTTTGCACACTTTTCTCACTAATAAGTTGCTCATTTGTTGCAGCCGATATCGGATAGATATATCATATAGCGGCCATACAATTTTATTTACCAAGGTATCCACACTTTTGTTTGCAATATTCATTTATTTATTGGATCTGCTTTTTGTTTTAAAATCCTAAAAATAAGTTATAAAATCTTAAATGTATTTTAAAACAAGTAAGGGAGAACTTGGATGATGACAACAACTGATGAGTCGACGTTGCGAGTTTTCGAGAGAAAAGTTCTGCGAAAGATTTATGGTCCTTTGCGCGTTGGCCACGGTGAATATCGCATTCGATGGAACGATGAGCTGTACGAGATATACGACCACATTGACATAGTTCAGCGAATTAAAAGACGGTGGCTACGCTGGCTAGATCATGTTGTCCGGATGGACGAAAACGCTCCAGCTCTGAAAGTATTCGACGCAGTACACGCCGGGGGAAGCAGAGGAAGAGGAAGATCTCCACTCCGTTGGAAGGACCCAGTGGAGAAGGACCTGGCTTCACTTGGAATATCTAATTGGCGCCACATAGCGAAAAGAAGAAACGACTGGCGCGCTGTTGTTAACTCGGCTATAATCGCGTAAGCGGTGTCTACCCCAATCAAGAAGAAGAAGAAGGAAGAGCTAAGTCCGGGTGCAACTGAACATTTTATACTCTTGTAACTTTCAGGAATCAAAGCAAAGGAAATACCTTAAGACGTAAAACGTCAACCTGAAGATGAAAATCAAAGCAATTTTATATACTAATATAGTATATGTATACACTATATAATTCATATGCTGACAGACCCATAAGGTTTGTTAGAAAAACGAAAACCATTATATATAGTACGAGGTATGTTCAAAAAGTAACGCGGATTTTGTGTTTTTTCAAAAATTATTTGTTTATTCATGAATATATATTTTGTCTCCTTCAAAGTAATCCCCATGAGATAATAAACACTTGTGTCAACGGTTTTTTTAATCTTCGAAGCACTTCAAAAAATAATTTTTTTTATCTTCTTCAGCTCCTCCTTCGATGCCGTCTTTATCTCGTCAAGAGAAGCGTCACCTCATCCTTTCATGGGTCTCTTCAGTTTAGGGAACCAGAAAAAGTCACAGGGGGCCAGATCGGGGAAAACGGTGGCTGCGGCATCATTAGTGTGTTGTTTTTGGCCAAAAAGTCGCGCACAAGCAACGATGTGTGAGCAGGGACGTTATCGTGGTGCAAAAGCCAATTTTTGTCACCTCTTCTCGGCCTTCTGAGAACATTTTGTACCACTTTATTACTGCAAAGTTTAATCCCGTTATATTAACTGCTTCTTAATTTGTGTTCCGGAAACTGAACAAATTCGATGCAGTTTAAAATTGTGTTATATGGGAAGTAGGCGTGGTTGTTGTCCGAATTCCCTCATTTTCACAACGTGACATAAGAATATGAAAAAAATGCCACGTACCAAAGTATGCCGAAATCTGTCAGTCGGGTCCCGAGACCAAAAAGTAGACGCTAACACGTCCATCGTCCAATTTTCACAATGGCTAAAAAGCTTTTTAGAAGGATTATTGCCCGAAACACCGGTACAATTTTCGAAGAAATTTGTCAAATCGGATACAAATATGTCAAACAAACTGTCGATCAAAAATACGTTCTCGTATAAACCGGTGGATAAACTTTTCGGCTCTATGATTGCTTTTATATCCTACATATCAGCAAATATATGAGACTTCTTTTGTAAAGTAGTTATATACTCATATGAAACGAGCGCGATGGCTATAGCATAAACTCATACGATCATAATTTCAACTATTTTCAATGAATAATAAATATCTTTTGTCTAATAAAGTTTCGTAGGCACGTTCAAATATTGCAGGAATTGCCAAAAATGTGTTCGCCCTCCCTTATTCGTTACTTTCAGTTAGAGCGTTGCGAGGAAATATTTTGACTTTTGCCATGTACAGTTTCGAAACACAATATCAGTACGTGCATTTTAATGATTTCAAATACTGAAAAATGTGCTTTTAATAACATTTCGAGATATGTAAATACATACATATAAATAATATTTATACATACTAATATATGCCCTTTATGTACCACATGGGTTAAAAAGCCTTTGGCCTGTCCGTGAGGTCAGACCATAAATCGAAGTTCCCTATCCTTGCCATGGAGTCTTATTTAGAATAAAGAGAAAGGAGTTCTAAGCGATCCACCAGTCTAGGCAAATTTTGGGTTTTTTTTGGAAAAAAATTTAATTTGGGGATTTTCAAACTAGGCATTTTTAGCTTAACCCGAATTCAATCGATTTTGGAAATCAAGAAATAAACCTTAGTCAATAAAATTACATTGGGGTTGGGGATCCAAACTTGAATTTTATTCAAACGTAGCGTAATTTCATAATTTTACCAACACGCTGTCTGGATTTATTCCGAACAAATTAAACTTGATTTATTATTTCTCCATTATTAAGGAAGTATGCAGAAGGACCTCATAAACACGGTAGCGAATGACAATAATTTATTAAGATCTATAAACTTGTGCATGCGTTTGAACCAGTTGTCAAAGCACTTTTGCTACCTGCAGAAAGTATCCTCAAAACATGCCTTCTGAGCGCTTCTAACGCATTTTCAGATGTCAAAAATCGTTAACCTCTTAGTTTATTATTTTCGTAATGGAATAAAAAGAAGTCATTCGGTGCCAAGTCAGGACGGAGAATGGCTCATTAAATCGATGCTTTGTATGCTCAATTATGCAGTTGAGAACTCGCATTGCCGTGATGAAGAGATCCATCTTGGGCGGTTAGTTTTCTTGATTTCTAGAAAAACAAATGCCTGTGTATCACTCAGAATTTACCGTTCTGCGTTGATCTAGTGATATGGTTACGATGTGTTCAGTTTTTTCAAAAAACAGTCATCCAATTGCTTTGAAGTGCTTCGTGCGTCAACATCTCATCTTTTGTCAAATTCGGCTTATCTAGAAAATCCCATCCAGTCAACTACTTTTAATTTTCAGGCTCATACGCATAAATGCGCAATTTACCACCTCACACCATGACATAGAAGTGTTTCGAGATACCACTATCGTTTTTTTTTTAATTTCTCTCGACCAATCGACGCGAGCCTGTTTTTGAGCGATCGACAAATTGTATGGGCTCCAAGGTGAACAAATATTTTTAACAATTAAATTTTGAATGCAATATTGAATGTATGCTAGTAACACTAATACCTGTGGCTCTCTCCATGTCTATAATCAAATATCAGTTTGCGCACAGCATCAATAGTTTGTGGAACAACAACTAATTTCGGACAACGGTAACGGAATTCGGATCTACGATTTCGATTCAATTCACCATACCATCGATAAACACTGGTCCTTCATGGAGCTTAATCGGCAAAAAATCAATTAAGCTCATCGATGAACTCTTGCTGTGTTAATTCCATTTGTTGGACGAGATGAATATTTTAATATACTGTAGACAATACAAGTTGCGCTCATATGTTCAAACGTTCTGAGTATGATAACATTAAAAATGTCAAATTTTACGATAAAGTTGTGAGTTGCCGGATTGCAATATTAAGCTTGCTAAGTCTTCGAAATATAAAAGGCAAACTACGTATTCATATCTCAGAGGATGTTCAAATTAAAATTATTTCCTTTTTTCTTGGATTACACTAATCAACAAAGCTGAAGGAAAAATTTGTGACTGGTGAGCTAAGAGATCTGTGAGTATTTCAGGTGTAATAATTACGAATTTGAGTTCAAAAATTTTCCATTTCGAACAGCTATTTTTGTCACTTTTTTGATAGTTGATTTTTGACTACGAAAATCCTACGCGTCAGTTGCAAAATTACTGCAAGCGTATAAAATATTGAGAACATTGTCTTTATCATTTCGATATCAATCGCTCCGACAAATGAGCAGCTACTAGGGGAAGAAGTATACAAGATTTCAGTGAGTTAAAGGGGGAGCCTGATTTAGGAGCTTGAA